CTTTAAATTAAATGCAAAACAAGTATTCCTTCTGAAATGTACATTTATTCATTCACTGGAGCGTGACCATTCCTGTCTGCTTAGTAAATAAAATTAGTTTTGATTTTTTTTTAATTAGAAAACAAATCAGTCATTACCCTAATGGAAAGCCTTTTTCAATCTCATGGATAAATGCTGCACACATTTCTAAAATGCTTTCTTTTTTTTTTTTTTATGGCAAATTTAATAGAAGCCAGGCCCTATTTCTCTGCTGCCAATCAAGACAGGAATCAAAAAGAAATTAAGGCACTTCTGGGTTTTGCCACATCCTGGTGCCATTTTTGCAATGAGTTATTCTTCATTGCTTTGTCAAAACAAGTCTCCTTTGAATTCAAGGGAAATTTTTTCTTGATTGGCAGGCAGATCATGCCTTTCAGCACCCTCCGTGTTTTCCTGATCATCACTTATGGTCAGAGGATCAAATAGGCCATGACAAAAACCAGGTGATTAGGAAAATATGTCCCTTCATCTTGCCCTGCAAATCTGATTTCACACTGAAATCAACACTAATTTCCTCCATTTCTTTTCTGCCTTGATCTGGGGCTACGCTCCAGGCTCAGCGTGGACGTGCCACTGGAGCAGCACAGGCAGGTCCCAACGCACTGGACGGCTGGAGCCTCCATGTCCCCGAGCGAGCAGGGCTGCGACCCGCGAAACGAGCTGGGGCCAACACAATCAGCCCGCTCGGTCCGGCTGGGACGGGCTTTTCACAGCAGGGGAGACATCTCACAAGCAACAGCCAGATTGTTTGAGAAAAGGCTTTTTAGGACTCAGAAAATATGCACACACTTTTTGTTTTGTTACATTCGCTCTATAAAATGTATACTATTTCCAGTATGCTTTGACAGAGGAAAGCAAAGACAAGTTCTTTAATATCAGACTGAAGAAAAGAACATGGCAGATTATTAGTGCAGGGTAACGCTAAGCAATATATGCTGACCTGACATGCATTCAGGGGAGAAAATTGGGAAATTTAGCTGGGTACACAAAGAGCTTATAGTTTGCACTAAACTCTTCCTCTATGGTAAAAGATGATGCTTTCATTAGCACAATATTAATGTTTATAAAGCTCTTTGGCATGAAACACTGTTGGCTTTCCTTTCCAGCATGTTGTAAAATCATCATGGAAAGAAAAACAGACTATCTCTAATGCACCACATTATTGTTACACTGGTATCTCCTGATACTGCACAGATTAACGTGACAGAGCAATAAAACTCTGGATCTTCATTTGTCACACTTCTTTAGCTCTCTCCCCTGCTCAGAGTGGTTTGAAATGAATATTAGTCTTTTCCCTGAAGAAAAAATAAGATGTTACCCAGAAATCATTGATATTTCAAGTCTGCCAATTCTTACTCAAGTGTTGGTCTTGTGAGTATTCTTCGGTTCTTCTGTATTCTTATCTAATCCACTGAAGAGTTTTTATTATTTTCCTTGCTTTTAGCGTTTGTTCTCCCATCTGCTTCTCACTGTATATCTTAATCTCGAGATGCATGATTTATTCTAGCAAAATGTCTTTGTTTTTGTGTTAAAGTGACACTCCCACAATCCCTGTGGCACTGACAGGCCTGAGCCTGAAAAAAGACTAAAAAGGGTGTATGAGACTCAAATGAAATCTCTGGTGGGGCATTTTGGTTTTGCAATCATCTGCCCTCTTTCTCCACACCACCACTCTAAGTCTCCAGGTAGTTTTATCTGGCTCTGAATTCTCTCTTCTCTATTCTGAACAGCCTTCTGGCAAACCAATATGCAATTCATGACCTCCCTAGCTCATAGACTGGTTTCTGTCCCAGCTATAAGATTTTTTTTTATATATAAAAGGCCAAGTTGAAACTTGTTTTTTGCACACTTTAATTCTGCAAGAGGTGCTGCTGATCCCAGGCACGCCAAAGACCTCTGTGGGACTGCTGGTTCCTAGGCTATAGGGTGCCCCTGCTCCGAGTTGTCAGGAATCCCCATTTGCATTCCCAAAACAAAGCGATTTGCCTCGGAAGTAAAGACTGAGATGCTCAGATAGCCCCTCTCAGGCAGTCTTTAGGAACGTAGTTGCAAGGACTGGCAGCAATGTCGCCCTTTCTCTTCTCATCCCCTATGCATTGTCTTTCTCCCCCGGGCTGAAAGGATGGTGTAGCAGAGACAGCCCGCTCTGATTTTTATACAGCTCCAAGCGCTTTGGCAAGAGACAGCAAATTAAAAGCTTTTTATTCGATGCTTGCTTTCTGCCTTAAATGTCCTGACGGATGTCAGTACCATCATTGCCATTTTTATAGATGTAGAAACTGAGGTATAGGGGATGAAGTGACTTAGGTAGAGTCTCATGGCCTTCATAAATCTCAGCCTGGCATTTCAGCTGTTCACTGCTACCTTCTCTGTCCACCCCTCATCTCACAGCTGTCTTTTGTTACTTCCATGGCAAATATGTTAATATAGCTCATAGCTGGCAAGAACCACCAGCCTTGTTCAGCTTTGCTGCTATTGTGAACACCCCCGTGGTTTCTTTATTCTGCTAACTTCCCCTGTGCAGAAGAGCTCAGCTCCTCCAGATCAGGCTGGTGATGGATGAAGGATGACATGGATGCACTCAGTAGCACACATTGATTTGAATCCTACCTCCCTGTACCTCTGCAGAGTAGGCTACAAATTCTGTATATTCTGGGCACCTTCCCTCTGTGAGAGCATTAATTGTTACTGCTGCTTGCAAACTGATCTGTGAAGTAAAATGGGTTTTCTAATTCTGTTACTGGAGAACTTTTAGCTAATCATCTGGAGGCAGATGGAATTGGCAGAGATGACATAAAGGCCTGCAGTAATTACTCCACGTGTCTCAAGAACTGATAAGAGACTTGATTTATGCCTGGAACAGCCTGATAATTCCGGAAATAATAGATATTGCATGACTTAATTAATCAATGTAAACCGGGTCGCACTGTGATTTTGAGCTGGTGGCTGTGTTATAGCACAGGTGTGTGGAAGGTGGGTTACAGTAGCCGCTCCCGTGAGACGAATAAATGTACCTGCTAATGGCCTCAGTCAGGGAGAAGGCTTTGGATTTAGCCTCCAGCTGTCTTATATCCAGTGGGCTTTTGTGCTTGGGGAACGTAAGTCTGGCCAGGTACGATGGCATGTGGGAGCATGGTAGGCTAGAAAATATGTCACTAACCAGAAATATATACTTTTCCCAGCTAAGACTGGAGTCAGTTAGCAATATCTTAGGTATAATCATAAATCCAAAATTGACTTGCCTGTTAGAGCTGATGGAAAGATAGGTCTCTCCAGGGTTAGTTTTAGCCTACTAAGAAGCCTAATAACTAGATCTCTGGGCAGGGATTTAATTTCTCCTCCCAGTGCTGCTATTGGCAGGTCATGTGGTCTTCAGCAAGTCACATCATCTTTATGGCCAGTCTTTAAAATGAGGATAGTGATACTGCTCTGTATTGCTTGCTTTGACACAGGATGATGCTATAGGTTTCTGCAGCTTTGGCGTTCCCTTTTCGTGTCAGATGTGGTCACAGTAGGTTTTGTGCTGTGAACACACTAACCTGAACTAGTCACTGAAGGAGGGGCACGGCCAAGTTGGGAGGATGGAGAGCACAGTGACAAACTGAAAGTACTTTAGAGCTGCTTCCTTCGCTGACGTGAGCAGAGGATGCTTACTCTGAAACCAAACAGGCGTGTGTTGACGGTGGATGTTGTCCACTGCTTCTCTTCCTCCTCCATGGAAAACTTCTGCAACTGAACTCTTTACCTTTCCAAAATGTACTACAAAGCGAGCCTGCCCACAGCTGAGCCTTCTGGTCAATCAGAAAAGTCTTACAACATTTTAAGGGCAAGTATCTGTGTGCCATAATGTCAGATGTTTTAATGAATTACACCAGCTTGTAGCACCTTACAGCACAGTTGAGCCAACACGTGGGTAGATCTTGAATGGTGCATGTCGGAAGGTAGTTGGCACTGAGAATGACAACCTCTTGAGGAGGAGAGCTAAGAGAAGGAGCAGGGCTTGGCTCCCAGGGAGTTCTGAAGTCCTCAGTCAAGAGGATTCATGTGGAAACAAGCTACTGCAGACTGGCGGATAACACCAGCTTGGCCTTAAAGTAACATTTTCAGGCTCCTCCTCTGAGCTCGCATAGCCTTTGGGGAAGCTATAAGGCACAGAGGACCGCAACCTGCTGCCTCATCTTTGGAAGGTTACCAAACCCCAAAATTTCAATAATTTCAGCACTACATTCACTCTAATCACTCTCCTCCATCCTTCTCTAGGATGCAGTCTAGGGAAGAAATAGATCAGTATCACAATCTGTTTAGAGCAATTTGAATAATCTGTCTTGCCTGTACAAATGTCAGGCTGATATTTACTGGTGGTACTGGGGCTCAGGCACATCCCCTTAGAGATACTGTAGAAGGTCAGCAAAGGTTGGAAGGACAGCTGAGATACCCTCTCCTTTCGCGTCTGCTGCCCTGCTTTCTACCACATGCAGATAAATTTCCTTACAGACGGACTATTTGAGCTGTGTGGACTGCTTGACCTATGTGGGTGAAAGCGGTGGCAAGAAGCTATTTCAAAACAGAATAAAAAGTTTCTTTCTGTATTAAAACACATCTCTTATTTGCTTTCCTCCTTTCAGTGTATGAATATTCCTCACTTTACGTTGCAGGCAGCCTGGATCGCACTGGGCAGGAACCAGCTCTGCATGCTGTTCCTAGCCCTCCTTGCTCCACTATACGGTCCTGCATTAGTCATTTGATCTCTATTTATCTAGGGAGGTCACAAGCACCACGAGGCACCGTGACTCTCCTTTTGACGTCTGAGCTGGACGGAGCCCCACAGGTCCCTGTACTCAGCCCTACTGTACTAAACTACATCGCATCTATGATAAGGGTAAGCCTCCAAGATAGAGCTGTATCTTTTTTGTGCAGTGCCTGGCATTGCTTGGAGAAGCTATGAAATTGATAGTCAAAAGGGTATTGGACTTGTTTTAATTTCTGTAAATACAGTTTAAATTCACGTCCATACTTAAATTCAGAACCAATAAATATACACAACGGCTTTCCAGACTTCACAAGCATTGTCACTTACATAATAGTAAAGTGGTTACATTACATTTTATATGCAATTTGGTTTAGAATGTGAAAGTATTAGGAATACATTGAGTCCTTTCAACACTTTTTATAGTCTTATTTTTACTCTTTCTTACTGTGTTTGAAAGTTTCCTGAATACTATGAGTCTCTAACACGGATTAATGATAGTAAAGCAATGTAAATGGAATATGCAGCACTGTGAAACCATGGCTCGTACATAATTCCAAGATCAGTGCTGTGGTCTTTTCTTTTTTTTTTCTCTTTTTTGTAAATCTTCCTCTTCAGAAATAGTGTTTTTCTTTTAAGAGATCCCCTTAGAGACTTTCAAAAACATTTTCAGCCGAATTATCTGAGCTGTTTTCTGCTTTGAGCTGATCCTGACAGTGCAAAGCAGCCATAAACTCAGCTTAACAAGGTAGTTAAAACAGGTTTAGTGTTGTTTTGCATCACTAGAGCAGTACAAAGCAAGCAGTGTGTACCAGTAAATCAGTTCCCTAGAGTACAGAAAGTGGTAACACACGTCTGACGGCCTTAGCTGAAATGCCATACGGACTTCACACAACCCAGTATAACCCATAACACTTTTAGCTGGGAAAGGGAGGGGAGCGAAGAGAAGTCTATGTACATTTATTTTAGCTTGTGGGTCTCCAGATTTTAGCTTTGCTAAGATTTCATCTCTCCTTTAAGTCCCTAAAGTCTCCAGCTCTACAACTGCTTTGCGTTACCAAGCCATGCCCATTACACCTTACTAGTCTGCATATGCCCATTGAATTCAATATTTCTCTGGGTTAGCATCGATTCCTGCAAGCGACTGCTGTTCTCTTGCCTGTGTTCAATGGGGTCACCATCCTCTATGCCATTGCCCTTCCGGAGGCAAAGGACTTTCTGAAAACTCTGCTTGAAGTTGTCAGAAAGAAATCCATAAAGAATGGGGTTGGCACAGCTGTTTGCATAGGACAGGACCACCACAAAGAAGTACACCCCTACCAACACAGGGTCTTCTGGCAGTATAAATATCAAATTGACAATGTTCATCATGTAAAAAGGGAGCCAGCAAAACACAAAGACGACCACAATGATCACCACCATCCTGGTCACCTTCCTCTCTGATCTCCTGCGTCTTGTAGACCCAACTCGGATCCCTGAAGATTTGACTTTAATCACAATCAGCAAGTAGCAAAGACAGATCACCAACAAAGGACCAAAAAACCCAAGGACGGATGTGTAAATGATGAATGCTGCTGACCAAATGTTGACTGGATCTGGCCAGTTCATGTTGCAAGTGTGAAAGACTTCCTGCACATCCGAAAAGATGATGACTGGAAGCACCACCAAGAAAGAGAATGTCCAGACAGTCGTACTGATTAGCTTGGCCACCCTGGGACGTCGCCACTTGGTTGATTTGATTGGGTGAACTACTGCCAGGTAGCGGTCCATGCTCATCACAGTCAAGCAAAAAATGCTAGTGAACTGGTTAATACCGTCCACAGTCATAACCAGCCTGCACAAAAAAGAGCCAAAAGGCCAATAGGAGATGGCATTCTGGGTAGCCAGGAACGGCAGGCCCAGCATGAAGAGTACATCAGCAACGGCTAAATTCAAGATGTAAATGTTGGTGACAGTTTTCATCTTGGCATAACGCAAAACCACATAAATGACCAGAGTGTTGCCGCTGAGTCCAACTGCACATACGAGGAGGTAAAAGACAGGAATCAGGACTTTGTGGATGTATTTGAATGAGGGCAGCTCTGAGAGTGTCCCGTTCTCTGTCACATTTGTCAGCAGTGAGGAATTTACATCACCGGAACTAGCTTCCATACTAAATGTGTTGGAAAAATATAAAGGATCCATAGCTGTTATTCTCCAGTTTTTCCTTTAAGGCTAACAGAAATTAAACTTCATAAGCATCTTGTTCCTAGAAAGAAGAAACAAAAGGGGAGGGGGGAGAAAGAGAAAGAAAGAATGAATTCAAAGTAGACTAAGATTTACACATCATCCAATTTTCTATCCGTAGCCAGAATTTGTGTTTGAATTATGCTGTTAGCATATGTGGTAAGATTAAGGCCTTAACAAAGGAATCCCACGCCGAGGGAGCCCAAGTGCCCATCCCAGCAGATGATATTTCTGTTCAACTTTCAGGAGCACTGTGCAGTGGGGTGCGGGGCTGGATATAGCCACGGAGACGGGAGGCTGCACAGCGCTAATAGGGAGCATGCATCCCGCCGGGCAGTGAGGAGAGACGGGGATAGCCCAGTCAGCCACTGTGCTTCAAAATCAGAGACGGCTAAAAATTTCGAGAGCCCTGGCATTTGGGCCTCTAGATCTAGGGCTTGTTGGTAACAAGACCAGTCCTTTTTCAGGGGAGTTGCTGATGATAAATTAATTCCTGCGTATCTCCTGTGCCGCTTGGCAAGAAAACTTTACTGGTTGACTGCCTCACACTCCTTAACCTGTCTCACTCACATTTTCCTCTTTCTTGAAATCAAGGAGCAGGGTCAATATTCAGTTTGCATAAAAAGCAAATTCAAAACCCACCTCCCCTCCTAGCTTTCTAATTAGAAACTGAAACAATTGAAAACTGAAATTGAAAACAATTTAGGAAACAATTTTGCATACAAATAAGGATACCTGGAGCACAGCTTTGGCATTAGTGCTGAAAGCTTTAAAGTCAGACTTGATACAATTCTGCTGTACGTTAGTCAAGGGTGCCTGGAGAGGCTGGGAGATTGTCTCAGCGGTCTCACTTCTGCCCAAGCCCTGGGTGCTTTTATAATCCAGAGCCAAAGACAGTTCCTGGCTTTTTGTATCTTAAGCTCCACTGAAATGTTCCACAGGTCTCCCTGTTTACACAGAAATAGTCTGAGTTGATATATTCAAACACCACTTACAGCCTGGCAGAACCAACTGAAAACCCCCAGAGAACATCAGCAGCTGTGTAGGTGGAGAAACAAAACCCTCCATAACAACTGCCAAAACTCTGGCAAGAAATCGGTGAACTCCAGGATGGAAACGACCATGCCTGAGAACACTTCTCCACCAGGTCAGGCCATGCACGCACCAGCACCAAGACTCCGCAGCAGAAAGGAACAGACTGTTTCTTTTCCGTTCATCCAGATTGTCCTTATGTTAGTGCTTCTGAATTCCTTTCTTCTCACCCCAAAGTGAGCTTTTTATCTAAGAAATACTTTTCTTCTGCACTAAATCTGGAATGCAGCAGGCAGCCTCTCAGGGCAAGGAGAGCTGAACTGATTTGGTGAAGGAATGTGTTTATTTGATAGTCTGAAAAGGTTTGAAGTTTCCAAAGCTCTGTCTCTGTGGTGTGTCTAGCTCATGTGGGTATTTATTAGTTTGTTCTTTCCCTGTACATGGTCTAAGTATATATAAAGATTTCTGCTTTAAAAGAGTAGAGGTGCAAGATACCAGCCTGGCCCCAGATCCCTCCCAAATCTAAGCAGCTCTTCAGGCTAGCGTGGTGAAGATGCTCAAGGAGGATATGCACAGCAACTTTTGCTCCCGTAGCATGTAGGTGTCCATTACAGGATAAGGGCACGAATGTGAATTTAACGTTATTGCAAAAAACAGCCAGCCCACATAGTACCCGTGCCTTCAGGCACAAAATAAGTACAGTATCATGTAAGCATGCAAAAGACTATTTGTCTCCAAGGGGAATGCAAACATCTCCACGGGCTGGTTACTGTGCTCTCTCTTGTAGCGAAAAAACTGCAGTGGGTGAGAGCAGAAATTCCCCCAGCTACCATATCAGAAATACGCTGTTTGGATTTGGAAATGTGCAGATGGGGAGTAGGTGTCTCACATGTAAGTTTGCGGCTGGGAGGAGATGTACCAGAGAAGTCAGAAAACCAGGGTGGTTGGGATAGTAAAGCTGAGAAATCTGCTAAAGCTCAAACAAAATGCTGAAGCTGGAGATGAGACACGAGGAAGGAGGATCTGCAAGTTCTGAATAAGCTAACACAGTGTTTTGGGTTTAGATACTGAGGTCGTGAGTAGGCTGCAAGACTCACTGCAGGGACACTGCAGTCCCTAATGGTATGTTGCAGGGAGACCATGTCCCTTGTGAATTAAACAGGACTGAACTTGGTACTTAAATAAGAAATGGAAAATGCTAAACAGTTCTGCCCAAACTGTGGGCTTTTTAAATGTTTCCTGACACTTAATTTTAAAATATAAAGTTTTAATGAAACTCAGGCTATTTGGGGAGAGATTTAGAAGAAGCAAAAGCAGCACCACACTCTTCCTGGGCTGTTAGAGTTGTGACCATTGGAAACGATTGCATTTTCTTCCAGTCCAGATGCAGTGTGACCCAGCTGGCTAGCCAGGGTCCTTGAAGGGAAGAAAATTAAGAAAATTGAAGGAGAGACAGGGCAATCAGTGTCTATAAGCTAATGTTCATGAAACACAACTGTGTCTTTGGAGCTGAGTATGGCAATGAGGATGGAAGGCACTTTTTACCTAGAACAGTCCAGACTGAGCTCAGCAACGCCCAGTTAGGGCCAAAAAAAAACCCACCAAATCTTTTTTTCAGGATTGCAAAAATAGCAGGACACGTCTAAAAAAAAAACAAAAACAGCACAGAACTGTCATTCAGCTGGGAGGAGGTCAGGAAACAGTGGCATGCTGCTTTCATCCTGACACTTGAAAGGAATGAGGATGTGTATCTGTCTTTTAAAGTTACCTCCTTTCTCCCCAAAGTACATGCATTATGTATCCTTGAAATAGTGCTTATAGAAATAACAGAATAAGTTCTTCCAGCCCGTTACTTTCTTCCACCACATTTACAATTCAAGCCTTAGAAGGGGCAGTGAGGAAGAAGAGATCCTCTATGAAGGTTGGATGCCCTCAAATTCCTTCTCACCCTGAAGATAAACTACTGCATGAAATCCCTGCCTTGGGTTCTTCCAGTCAGGCAAGTGTATCCCCGATACACTCTAAGGGGTTTCTGGGGGAGCCTTTGTGCATCTTCCAAGAGGGGGACAGCTTTTTCTGTCTTCTTCAATAGCAGTCCCGATGGTCTTCTCCCCCTGCACTGGTGTCTTCAGGGGGCAGTAGTTCCTCAGCAGTATGCAGGCCTGATTTTTTTGGTATTTTGGGGTTCTTCTCTTGGTTTCCTGCAAGCACTAATCTTTATTCTCATGAATTTTTGTTCCAGTTGATGAATTTCACAGCTTTCCCTTCAGTTGCAGGTGGATTCAGAAGGAAATGCGTTTGCTACATATATCATGCAAAGTCTTTAATTTCTCCAGTGGGTGAGACCCTGCAGGTTGGCAGCACGGACGAGGGTCTGCCGTCATCTGAATGTCTCCCATACACTGGCTGGGGACGTGATGTGCTTAGAGTCATCCAGTCCTGAAAACTGAGCCCAGGTCTCTGAAGTCCCAATTCAACACTTTACCCACTAAGCTGTTTAAACCACACTGCCTTTGCCTTGTAGCCACTGATATTTTGGGCTTCGTTATAGCATGGCAATAACAAAAAATTGAACAGCTGCAAAAGCATGTTTTGCTGGCAGCCTGTGACAAGCGTAGATGATTTTTCCCTCTATCTAGCTGATAGCCTTGCCCATCATCAGTACAATTTTGTCTGAACATATATTGCCACTACAGTAGTTAATGACTATGAGCTTCAACAAGGGATAAATAATTAGGGCTTGCTGAATGATATGTTATTTACTTGTTTTGGTATTCTTAATGGATTAATAAAACACTACCTTTAGGGGCCTTCCACTCTACCAGATTTTTTCCCCTTTGGCTGTTTGATCTGAAGGACATCACTCTGGGATACTTCATACATTAGGTGCTTTCTGGTTAAAATACACAAACCAAAAGGAGGATGGAGCTAAGAATGCAGATCAAAAATAATTACTGGTATAACTCCAAGCTCTCCCTTTGCAGAGCATTACCTTGAAAAAGCAAGTATCCATTGCAGCTGAACAAATTTGACTACCTGTGTCTGTGTCCAAGAATGTGGAAAGAGAAGAAATGGCAGAGACGTCATGGTACAGACCACGCTGCTCGGAACAAAGTATTTAGACTTCGGTGTCCTAAACAAACATACTTTTGCTGGGCACAAGGGTAGGTGTCAATCTAAAAGCACACAGCAGCCCATTAGTGACTGAAGCACCTTCACTACATGAGGAAGAATAAACCTTAAAACTTTCCAGGCAGATCAGGGTTGAAAGTACTCCTGGTTGTGGTTACAATACAAAACAAAAATAACTCTGTAAAGTGCAATGCATCAGGGTAACAGCTGGGTATAGCTGGGATCAAGAAGGAATTGCATAAAGAAATATAATTTTGCACAACAGGATTTGATCTTGCTGCCTGTTTATCACTGGAGTCATAACTGTCTCTTATGCAGCATCAAACATAATTGCTATGAAGACAATTATGGCAACAGAAAGGTAGATTACTGCTTCCAGGTGCAGAATAACTAGCAGGAAGAGAGAAAATGCTAATCCACACAAATCTGCCTTTAAAACAGATGGTCTTAGGACCAACGGGGAGAAAAACACCTGGATGAGAAGCCAAGAAATATTGAATAGCAGCAAAACTTCATGTCTTTTCCACTGTCCCACAGAGCTGGCCATGATGTGTTAATGGAGCTATTTGCTGTAGTGAAGCAAAGAAAAAGTCTGCTGCTTTGGGGATGAATGGTCATTGCCTGCATCCTCAGATATAACCCTTGGGGTCCTCACGCTCCCTGTCGAGCAGGGTTCCTACTGCAGCAGGAAAAGCAAGTTACTTGTCTCAGACAACAAGCAGAGAGATGCTGGTGAAAGTTGCTGTGACCTGGTGTAGCTGCTTTGAAATAACACGAGCAAAGCTGAAGCAGGGGTCTGCCTGAGGGCAGTGAAATGCAGCATCATGCCAAGACCTGCTTCAGCTTCTTACAGGAATAACAGTGTTCTTGCACTAAATCAGTATTTGCATGACAGCATAAAAATCTCAGTATTTCATACTTCAAAACAGTTAGAATGGGAAAAATTCTGGCATCTTCCCCCTCTCCCTCCCCATCCCACTGCCTAGGGAAAAAAGCAAAAGGATTCAGTCCAAACAGAAACTTCTTCCTTATTAAAAATCTATCATTTGCTGTTTTTCAGGGTGAGCTTTTCACTCCAAAAACTGGAGTGATCGATTTTTCTCTCCAGATGATATAACAAAAAAAACTTCCTTACACAGATTGATGTTCTGTTTTGGCTAGCTTTATAGTGCTGAACACTGATCAACTAAAGGCAAAGCTGAGTAACACCCTGCCACTTCTAACACTATCAAAATCTTTAGGAATTATATTTTCAAGTTGCCAACACTTTTTACCACCCTGCTCTGATCAGCCCAGTGTTTCCTAGAGCGCTCTGTGGATATGGTACCTGAGGACTTGGTCCTATTTTTAGTTTGCAAACAAACAGCCCATAAAACATTTCTGCTTTTGTCAAATATTTGCTAAATACTTTTTTCCCCAAACAAATTTCAGGCTCTGTCATGTTCAGAGATTACTCACTTTGGCTGAGCTGGTCCTGTTACACGAACAGCGATGCAAGCCACATGCTTCTGGTTTTGCTCCCAGATCGGTTGATTTAAACAACTTCAGCCAGAAAAAGTGTGCAGCCTGACACCTCTGTGTTTGCACCTGCACAGCCGTTTTTGCAGAAAACTCCAGCTACTGCACTGTCTATCAGAGCGATCAGGGACTTTTAGCAAAACACTTCTTCTGCTCCTCTCTCCTCTTCATCCATTGAAATGGAGCGGATTTCAGGGACGTGCCAGATTCAAAGACAGTTCAGCTGAGGAGCATTTTGATCACAAAAATGCACCTGCTACTAAGCTCGATTCTTCTCTGCAGCACAAGGGGGAAGAGCTCCGGGGGAGGAGACCCAGGGGGCCTTTCCTGTGCAGTGGTGCCGGTGCCCGTGCAGCGGTCCTGGTGCCTGTCGGAGGTGCAAGGTCTCCGGGTCGGAGTGGCGCTCCCCACACACACAGTGCGGATCTGCTCCAGCTGCAGAGTCAGCCAGCCCTGGAGACAGGGTCCCCCGTGAGCTAAGTTTCCCCACATAAGCACTAGCAGGCTGATCCCCGCACCCTCGTAACTGGCTGCCCAATGGGACCTGCATGTCTCCCCCATAGAACTATAAAAAGTCTCCAGTTTACCCCAACACAAGCCTGCAATGTCAAAACACCTGAGCTGGGATATTCTTTTCCTGCTCTTTGGTGAAGAAGTCTGGACGTGGTGGAAACAAGCCATGTCCAGTACTGAGGTGACTGGGAGTTGCAGTAAGGGGCAGCAAAGTGCAGGGACACACAGGCACTGCTCAGTCCAGACTGACTATGACTCCCCAGGCTCCTTTTTGCCCTTGACCATCCACCTTTTGCTGCCCCTCCTGGAGCCCATCTGACCCCCTGCCCTGCCCTGCTCGTGTTTTATCAGAAAGGGGCATTGCACTTTCAGCTCTAGCCACCTATGGCTTTCAGTGCATCACCCTGGGCTGGGAAGGACTCGAGGCTCTGCCACTTTTCTGGGTCCCAGTGCAGGGATCAAGTAGCACAGAGCAGGATGCAGGGTCAGGCTGTCCCTGTGCATCCCTTGCGCAGGTGCCTTTCTCCTCTCTCTCTAGCAGATGTTTTAAAGCATTGCTAGCAAGATTGTCCTGCTTTAAACATCACATCTCTGATCAGCCAGTGGGCTTCTCTTTCTGCTCTGTCCCAGCTGGGACTGGGCAACTCTGCTCTCCCACCAGCAAAAGCCCCATAAGAAGAGAGGAAAGGAAGAAGAAACTCGGGATGCTTTGGGAGAACTGCAAATGAGACTGAACACTCTGGTGCCTCATTCATCCTTGAGAGTAAAGGTGCCCTCAAAACCAGCGTGTGCTGAGCAAAGCCCCTGCCTCCCCTGTGCCCATCCCTCCCTGCCTTCCCTCGCCTCATCCCTTCAGGGTCCCCCAACCCGGACCCCTTCCCTTCTCCCAAAGGCAGTCATCACCTGAAGCTCCAGGCACTCCTCTCTGCCGCGGGAGGCAGGAGCCGCCCGGCTCCCCCGGGGCTGCCGCGATGCTCCGGCCGCAGCGAGCGCGGTCCCGGGGGGGTCCCTGCTCGCCGGGACCGGGGAACCCGCGGGGG